AACTGTGCAGAGCAGCTCGTCGCTCATGTAGTTCCCGGTTCGAATACCAGGTTGGTTTAAAATGTTATTGGATTTTCTGTCAAGAAATTGCCAGTAGCGGCAATTTCATGACAGAAAGAAAAAAATTCCAGAAAGCTTGCTGCGCCTGATCTCTCTCCGGTCGTGTCCGTTTACCATCCCATCGGACTATAAGTCAGGGGATAGTGCGCTCGTGCTTGCGCACACACTCTTGCGCTATAATCCTGTCGCTACATATTTATTTATCTATGATGCAGTTCTGCGCATTTACACTAGAGCCATGCTGCAGCTATATTAGTGGTATAGTTGTAACACGAATGGGTCGGCTCGACCGTGGAAGGACCACGCTCTCACAGAATACCAGCGTAAAATAGCAGCTTAACGCTGCTGTGTTTCGTATAGTGAGTGTAGAGAATCAGACCCTTTTTACTGGAACCGAAGCATTCCATCTTAGTCCTCACGGGTGACGACGCATCTGCATTTTGATTTGTTAACGAGGATAGATGTAGATGCCTATGGGCTACAGCAACCACTTACCATCAGGTAGACTGTATGCTCGTTTGTCACCCTTATCCTTTAAAAAAAATTAGTGGGTCTGTAGGCCCGTCTAAAAACGCTATTTTATTTCTTGAGTGAGTAGAGGAAATAATGAATTATTGTACGAGCTAAATATGTGAATAAGCTTACGCTCTCTCTCCATTTATTAACTCATAATATTTTTCACTTTTTACTGATAAACAAACGGGCCTTGTCATGAATGTCGGCCTTAAGCCAAGGTGATCCTCTTGTTACACATAATCACGGCTCTAATAGTTTTTGTAATGTCAAGTTACATTACTCCTGGCTTAAATGGTATACTGTCGCATATTTTATACCATCCCGGTCATGATTAAGGTTCAGAATAGGCTTGGGCAAAAAATATCGATATATCGATATTTTTTAATGTAAATATCGATATTTTTTAATATAAATATCAATATATATCGTCGATATTTTTATACGCGATATTTCGATATTTATTTTAGAGTATCAAATTCGTATCAATTGAGATATATTTTAAAATGTTGTATTAATGACAAAACCTAACAACAAAAGAATGTACAAAAGTGAATACTTTTGTACATCCTAGAATTGTGTCGTTGGTAGTCATTTATTTTTCGCATCCAACCGGTTGTCGTTTTTTTTAATATAAAATTTTGGACCTTATTTTTACATCATGCAAATGATGACGATATATCGATATTTATCACGCGATACACATCGATACTGTTTAAAAATATCGAACCGATATTTTTTTCCTTGCCCATCCCTAGTTCAGAATATATGGCGGTCATTTCCGGTAGATGGCGCGATAAGTTTCACTCTGAAGTGACTCAGAATTTTTAGTGTAAATATAAAATTGATGAACAACTTGACTACAGTCAGCGACCTATCGGCTCCAATTTTTGTGATTTTATTTTTAGGCACTAACCCAATCTATATTTATATTATGGCGAATATGAGTCGTTTTCGTTCATAAACATTTGTTAACAACTTGACTATAGCGCCACCTATAAGACCCTAGTGTAATCCTCACAGTGTAATTATTAATTGCAGTGTTCATTTACCACGTGCTAGACGGTGACATTATGAGGAAACCTTGAAATGTTTTATTTCGTGATTCGTGAAAAGGTACAGTCCACCACACGCATAACAATTAGAAACGAGATGCTTGTGCCCAGCAGTGGGACGTATATCGGCTGCACTTTACTTATATTTTACTTTATAGATAATACTTATTGAAAGTATTTTTTTTTAATTTAGTAATGTTTCGGATAATACGGAAGAACCAAGTTGTTCTTGGATCTTCCATATACCTAGCACTTTAGTTTACAATATTATGTTGTAGAATTAGTCAGGTTTACATTTATTTTAGAAAGCATCTGTCTTTCCATGCGATTAGAATGTGTCTTCAAGGCAACAGTGAATAGGCTTTTGTTAAGTCAGTGCGATTTACAATCTTCGGTTGCATCACCACTTACAATCAGGTGGAAAAGTACAGCTTGGTGGCGATCACCTAATTCCCAGCGATTATTATCATAGATGTTATAGTGATCGAAGTGATTAGATACTTCTTCACGGTTTCTCTAACACTGTGTCATGCAACAGATATAGTGATCCAGTGGCCTAGCTAGGCGTGGGCAAAGTGGGCCCTCGTCCACGGCCTCGCACTTAAAGGGGAGGCCTCTTTAAATGCGATGTCCCCAGACTTTACCACAGATGACTAATTAATTTGATCACTTTTATAATTTTTTTAATTTAAAAGCGTGTTTGTTTGGGGCCCCGCAAGAAGCCCGTCTTAAGTGTGACTGCGAGGCCGTTGTAACTACCTTCAAAGAGCGTGAGCTAATTAGAATCTAACATTGAGGGAATACCAGACTTATCAGGAATTAATAGGATATCGTGTCAAAGCATGTTTGGTAGGATAGATCTATTGGGTAAATCTGGGGAACGAACGAAAAGGGGATCTCATGAGGTACCTTTGTATTTGCGCGTACTGACATGTTTTCAAAAATATTCAGTCATTATGGCCCAAATCGGCTAGGAAAAATTCCATTATAACAGTTTTATATTTTGTTTTCAATATTTTTTTATTACATATATTTCGCATCCTTATCATGATTTCTACCTAAAATAATAGGTAAATTTTATAACCCATTATAATTTTTTGACGAATCTGTAATAATTTAATGTTGAAAATGCTACAATTTGTAAATAGCAATAGAAAACATTGTCTTACCTGTAAATAATTTATTGTTTATGAAATCACTGTGTAAAATTGTTTTTGCACTAAAAGAAAAGTATCATACATAAGTCAATGCACTAAAAGTTATCAAGTTACCATAAGTCAAAACATTGCTACACTGAAATAAAAAGGCGGGAAATCACTCAAATTATTAATTATCGATCTCTATAAAGCACTATATGTTGGAAAAAAGTTGTGTGATATAAAATATAATTTACAACAAAGTCACAAACGTGCTATCTCAATGAGTAAAAATATAACAATGTGAAAACACGTAAACATTTCCGTGTTATGAATGCGATTGCGGTTTGCGGCGCCAGGCATATTCACTCGAACTTGATTCGCCGTTGTGTTCCGTTTATCTCTCGAGGTTATTGAACAAAAAAGTCATGCAACGACATCTATCCATGCATTTAAGTAACAAAATAAATTTAGGTAATATTGTGTTGGACAAAAATCATTTTTGCACGACATTTGTTTTCATTATTTAAAAAAAAAAACAAATTAAAAGATATTATATTATATTTATAGAAAAATGCAATGACAATATCGGTACACTTCGAAATAAAATATAATTTTAAAAAACATAATACTTACTTAATATCTTTTACTTACATCTATTATTTAATATGAAAGAAACAAAATTACTCAAAAATACAACCAGAACAAACAACAATACAACAAACAGACAAGACTTTGTGTATTGACACAAAGCCTACAATCAGTTTAAAATTTAGTTATAGTCATAATACCTAATACGCTTAAATAATCTTTATTGTTTTGTTTATACATATTCATATCATTATTATTTTAGCAAAATTATTAATCACTACTTCCAAACTTCAAACATTAATATTTCAAGTAATTTTTTTTGGTTGAATCTTTTTTGCATAACAACTTACACTAAAGTTCTAGACAATACTTAACTTTTTTAATTTCTATTTGGCAGAATAATTAAAATAATGAATAAAGCAAAGTAAAGAAAAAAGAATTGAATAAAATTTATTAATAAAATTAAAAGTAAAGAAAAAAGAATTGAATAAAATTTATTAATAAAATTAATGAATATTATATTAACGCGAATACTACACATTGAAGAAAACATTTTTAACGGATTTTATCACGTTTAATTATCTTATTTTGAATTTCCGACGTTTCGGGTGCAAAATAAGTTAATTAAAAGCGATACGCTTAGGTATTACCCATCCTTAGATTGAAGGCTTTTCGCTAGTCACCTCATATAATATGTCAGAAAGTATTAAAGGCATCCGTTAGATGGCGGTATAATCATGTCATTAAAATAACTATCAAATCCTTGTAAAATGTATAATACTTTGATTTGTACCTATATGTTGTAGTCTGATAGGACTAGCATTTCATGGAACGCCATTTGAAAGCTTAACCAAACTGAATAATGTGACATTTAACAAAAGTACGGTCCTATGAATATTTGGCATAATATTAATAATCAAAGGGGTGGCCTTAAGCTAGGCTATCTAGTTGAATAAAATTTATATAGTTCCCGAGACAGATTGTTAGAAACCTCAGTTAGTATTTAAAAATTAATGTCATTAGAAGCATTTGTATACTGGACAAATTAATTTATTCTATTATAATGTTCACAAATCACAACTTGTTTTGATAGGAACAAAATCAAATATGTTTGGTCTTGGTCTTGGATGTTGAATACAGTCGACAAAAGGGCTGGTTTGCAGTCAGCCCAAACATTACATTTTTATTTGACTAGTGCATTTGATTAAAATAATAACTTCGATGTAAATTATAGCCACAGACCAACAGTTCTTTAGTGAAACTGTAGCATTAGACGTTTTGAAAATAACGGTAATTAACATACACATAAAACTTTTATTTAGATTTTTTAAGATACCCACTGTTCGACAAAAAGGCTAGGCATTAAGCTGAATTAACTAAAGGGCTAGACTTAGCAAAAGGGCTCAATCAAACGGTTGATCAAACCATCGGAGACGACATCAATTATGTCAGTAGATAGAATAATTAGAACTGTATAGTAGATATAATAATAGTAACTTTATAAACGTTTTAGCAGAAAAAATTGATGGTGAACGCGACTAAATAGCTAATTAAGGCACCTTCGTATACTTGCTTCTTTTGGTAGGTAATTCTTACATCTGTATATTTTTATATTCAGACGAAAGAAGTACCTAATATTTGTAAATTAATCAGAATCAAAATCGATTTCTCTATTCCGAGCATGAAACATTCTTCCCAAAAACATCTCCATCATGAATCGTTCTTGCATTTCTCTCTGAAAGCGATGCATATGGATCTCAGGCAAATATTGCTGTAAACGCCATTGCGCTGCAGTTTTGCTCTCAATGTGTGCATTGGTCTTCAGATGTTTTTTCATTGCTTGCCATGATGATTCCAAGATATTGCAATATCCGCAATGGTAATTGCCAGGGTGAATCTAAAACAGGTTGGGAGTTATCAGTAAATAGTTTTATCATCATTTTATTTTATAACGCGGATATTTGCGAAGTAAATTTTTCTAAAAGCTTTTATATAATGGATTTCCGCAAAGTAACGCCTGATTCTATTAATTACATTTTAGTTGGATAAATATTTTGGCTTCCCTCAGACTTACACTATGAATCAAAAACGTTTTGAGTTGTAATTAGTTGTCAAACTTGTGTCTAAAGTCAAGATTTTGTTGAACAAAGTCTCGCACTGGGGGTGACTAAATCAAGTCCAGTTCAATCCTCAGAAGACACAAATTTGCGCGTTTACCGCTAAAAGGGACCCCTTTGTCGTATCTCCTCATTTTCAAGGCACTCCCCGTTGCCTCAGCCAGTATCGGAATCCTCGACGTCGACATATTGAGTGACGTACAGTTTCGTGATCACTTGGAAGAGAAGGCCAAATTGGCCTCTAAAAAGCTTGGCGTGCTTAACGGAGCGGGACAGTATTACATGCCGGCACACCGCCTGCAACTGTACAAGGCTTATTTTATCGCATATCGCATCTACTACAGGGAGTGCTCTGAGGAATTGTTTGGACTAATTCCAACTGCTCAATTTCACCATCGCACATCGCGACAAAACTCGCGATACCATCCATACCATCTGGATGATTGGCGGTCCGCCACAGTGCGATTTACGAGAGGTTTTCTTCCTCGCTTCCACAACTTCCTTGTGGAATCGACTACCACCAGCGATTTTTCCGACCCGATAGGACTTCTAGAAAAGAGCGTACTCCTTTTTAAAAGGTCGGTAACGCATCTGCAATTCCCCTGGTGTTGCAGTTGTTCATGGGCAGCAGTAATCACTTACCATCAGATGAGCCGCAAGATCATTTACCCCCTCTCATAAAAAAAGTAATTATAATTTTGGTCATCATTAAAAAACACCATTAAATAGAAGTTTTCGTTTGATAACTACGTATAATTACTACAAATATTGTTAAAAAAAATGCCTTTATTATATCTACAAATGTGCAAAGCAGCGAAGGTTTCTTTTCAGTTTTCCACACTTCCAAATAGGTATTTAGCCATTAATAATAATCAAAGTCGAGTGCAGCACCGCCGTGAAAAAAAAAAATTGAATTAATTATGCCAATGTCGCATTGGTAAATGTTTTTGTGGACATTCTTTGTTTTTGTTACAATAAACACATTGACTGTTTGTTGCAACAAACGCAACAAAGAAAAGAGCCATGTCTAATTATCTAATTATATGATGAATGTGATTATGACGGCCTCGAAGTGCTGTTGCCCCCGCGTAAAACTATTTTTATTACTCTTTTAGATACTGAGATTTAGATAATCCAGCTATAGCTAGATAATTTAGACCATAATTATCTAATTATTTGATAAATGTGATTATGATGGCCTCGGGGTGTTGTTGCCACCATAAAACAATTTTTGTTAGGTAATGAGAGATTTATGTACATAAAAGTCGACGCTAATACTTTACTTTTAAGTACATTTACTTTTATTTCGACTTTCACGTGTTTCAAGATAATACTTTAAATTGCGGGTTGTTTAACACTGTAACACTTAGAGACGTTGAGGTTCTGCTTGGGTGTCATCTCTACTCTTGGTTCTGGTTTTATTTATTTTTTTCGCTTTGTATTTTCTTTCGTGTTATGTTAACAAGTTAATTATTTTTTCATTTATATTTTTTTTTACTTTTTGCTAACCTGTACTTGTCGAGCCGAGACTGATTTTGTGAAGAACGCTGACTTTTTATGATACAGGACCTGCCTAGTTTAAGTCAGAGGATCTAATATAATCTTCTATGTAATATTTAGATATGTATGTTCAATATATAATTTCATTGTTATGCGGCAATAAATTATTTTTGATTTCTTTCTTATTTTAAAATCTATTATTATTATTTATAATACAAAAAAAAACATAAGCAAAAAAAGCAGTACAAGTGAAATTTGTATATTATTCTAATTGATTGAAAAAGTATTAACAGAATAAACCTGTAAAACTAAGGATACGAAATAGATGAATTGGCACATATAAACTACAGCGCTACAGCGAAATTTAGTTGAATTGGGCTCAAATGGAAGGTTGGTATTATTGGAATATCTGGGGACACGGCAGTGCCCCCGCCAAGTCGAGCAAAAAAGCGGAACGGCCGTACCATCCTTTTCTCGAAGCAGTTCAGGCCATTTTCGAAACACTATAACTTCGTTGTGGATAAAACTAGAAGCCTGAATTTTCAGTAACCAAGTAGGCATTGTATAAACTCGATATATTTCAAATTCCATCAAATTTGAACCAGTAGTTTAAGAATTAAAACTAGTCAAAGTTTCTTAATTTTGTCACTCACTGACTGACCGATCATCAAAACTCTAAGGCACTTCTAGCAGACATAGAAGCTTCAAATTTGGAATACAATTATTATTTAGTATATAAATTAAGAAAAAATTAAAATATTTTGCAATTTAGGTCCAGTTTTCGAGATATACTAACTGCATAAATAACTTTGTAATCCCATATAAATATATAGGATTACAAAGTTACATTTGCAGTGAATGAATCAGTGAACCTATATATATATAATATAATGGAATAATAGGTGTAGATAGATACCTAGATATAACTATCTACAAAAAGAAATGAGATGCCATCAAAAACATAACTTGTGAAAAAAACCAAGTCTCGCAACTACGTGGATATGTGAATTTTGAAATATTTAACTTGCTCGGGTGATGCGGAATTTCGCACGCGCGCGCCGAGTAGATATACGTCTAGGATTCGAACCGCGCATTCTTTGTTCGAGAGCGTTTCCCGGTTGATTGTCTGGAAATCATTATAATTGTGCCGTCGCGTTAAGTGCCCTTTTTTGTGTGTTGGCTGGTTTGTTAGTTTTACTTGTCAACGAGGCGTATTTTGAATTATTATCGTGGCGTGGTGGATTGGTATCGAACGAAAGAACTTAGTTGTCTTTAACGGTGAACCGTGTGACTCATGAAGAGATCGCGTTAGTTCAGATAGATAAGTGAATCCGGGACATTGAGTGTCGAACTTTGAACCGCTGTCCGCACTGTGTCGGGTATCACGTGTTGAATTCTACGATGAATGTGGAATTAGGCGAGTTTAAGTTAGTTAAATGTACAATGAAGCTAATAGACTGAAATAGTGATAATGAAGAAAGAAATGGTCCAGCGGTGGAGCCTGCTGGAGCGATGCAGCATTGTGGGGCAGCCTGGAACTCGGCTGCTGTTAGTCACCTAAGCTGGTCCAGGTCTCAGACACATACACATCGCTAAACACTACTTGCCATGCACCTTACACCCACTTACGGCCTGACCGAGCCTTGGGGCGATCTTAGAGTCGGAAACAGGTACGTACTATATTTTCCTAGCATTCTCCCATATAGTTTAGTATGATAGGACATTTTCTATGTGGCCATTTGGGCCCGACCTGTGTCTGCCCGTCGAGCAGGCTGCTATGGGCCCCAGCCAGGGCGACCTCTGCAGGGGCAGCTGCGGGCCGTAACAATGACCATATCGATATTAAAAACCTTTTATATTTTAAATAAATAAATTGACTTGGCAATCGCACTAAACAATCTAATTTAATATAATATGTATTACTTGAGAGATACATTGCATTTTCATGCGATGGCCAAGTCAATATATTTATTTAAAACATAAAAGATTTTTAATATTGATATGGTCACTATAAGATGTTGTTAGGTTAGCTAATTACGTAATAACTTTAGAGAGAAGGACCCTTAAGTAGGGACTGAATAAATTAACCGATTTGGTATTACATGGATCTCACAACTTTTTACGGTAGAAAAACTGAGTTGCGAGACTTGGTTTTTTTCACAAGTTATGTTTTTGATGGCATATCATTATTTCAATATATAACTCTCGGATTAATAAGATGTGGTCTGAAAGTAGATAGTTAAATCTGATTAAAAAGTGTTTTTTACAAGCTACGCAGCACCTAAACACTAAATGCACATTATTTCAAATAGGGGGTTAAAGGAAATAGAAGCTTATGAAAACGTCACAAACGAGGATATTATAGTATAATATAAAATTTAAAATGTCATAAACCCCGAAACTAAAAAGCTGATAATCTTCTAAACTAAAAAGATTTTATTTAATCATAGCTAAGAACACTCTCAATAAAGTCACCTTTCACACAAAAAAAAACGTACCCAAATGGGTTAACCCGTTTAAGAGATACAATGCCACAGGCAGACACACAGACTCACATAGCAGTCAAACTAATAACGCCCCTCTTTTTGCATCGGAGGTTAAAAACTTGTGACAAAACTAAACAATGAAAAAAAGAAATTTTAGCGGAGATACTAAAGTTGACAATATGATTGAAATTAAAATTAATTACAAACATAGGTGACGATGGCTCAAGCTCAAGATGATAATATTGTTTCATCTTCCGAATATAAAATAAATATTTTAATTATAAAATAATTTAACCTTAATACGGTTCATCAATCTTTTTACATAGGCCTCCCTTTACTCTTATATCCATCTACTTTTATAGCAAACATTATTCTTGTTATATGGTTTACTTCCATTCACATAATATGCCACTACCACGCTAGTCTTTCTAGGAAAAGTTGTGGTGGATCTTATATTGTAGTTGCCTTTTTGTTTTAGGTTGGAGATTCACAACTGCGCCCTATTTTCCCAAAAAAGGGTCGCTTCCGATTCGGCAGAGAGGCCTAATAAGCTAACGCCGTACACAAGAGTGGAGTTCAGTGGGTATCTTAAGGGTTAGGATAGTTAGGCACAGTGAGTCTCACATAACCACGACAGACCGGCTGTCGTGGTATGCATAAAGCATTCTCCACTTCCTCGCGTAACGGGGTAGCCCTTTTCAATTGCAAAAAAGACATCTAATATTGTAGTTGCCTTTTGTTTTAGGTTGGAGATTCTCAATTGAAAAGTGATATACCATGTTATGGAGGTCTCTAATAATTTTGCTGTCGCTCCCATGACTGGAAGGAATAATATTGGCAGAATGGTTTTTAAAGTATAAAGAAAGAGGAACATTACACTTCTACATACATTTAAGTTACTTGGAACCGTTACGGTGTCACCCACACACGTGCACCTAAAATATTTTGCAACCATCAACATGGGTTTAGACGAAAATGTGACGTGAGTGCGAGTTCTTACAATAATTTGAGCATAGAGCCAGATGGACATCATTATTAAGGATAGGTTACAAGAAAATAATAACAATATGGAAAATATATAATAAGGTATAGGAAGAGTAGGTTAGATAGAGCAGAAAAATATATGTTTAAACGATCTGTAACAGTAGGGCGAAAGTGATAGTAGAAACTTGACTTCATGGTGCACCTAACCGATAACAAGCGTGATAACTAAGGCAAATACCTACAAGGACAATCTATGGAGCAAGTTCATATTCAGTTCAGCGGTGGTGATAACGATGATGATATAAATTATCTTAATACATACCTCTCTTATAAATTCGGTTTCATCTTCAATAATTATATAGGACTCTGAAAGCATGTCTTTATGGTGAGGCATATCCTTATGTGCCTCATAATTATTATAACGAAGATTACTTTTACAGCCCAAACATCTAAGTCTGTTTCCATATTTAACAAATAATAAAAAACTGAGTAAGTTGATACATATTTTCTCATTAAGCACGATATCCTTCTGAACCCCATTAATAGTGATAGCACTATGGACAAATAATTCCATTGGTATTTTTGAAGGAATGCAGTTTTCTTCAGGTTGCTTTTGTTTCGGCTCACTATTAGTAATTTCTAAATCTTGTTCATTCTTTTTATTGTGAGCAAGTCCCGCAACATGCTCTTTTATGTTCTTAAGAGATGATGACATGTCAGTATTGCACTTGTTACAATGTATTTTATTTTTGCCAATGTATTTCATATTATTTTCTTTGACAAAATTATCCAGGTCTTCGATATCAGATGGAGGCGATGATTCTTTATCGTTTTTTGCTTCTTCATTTTCCTTCTTTTGCTTTTTCTCTGCAGTTTTTTTTATTAATACAGGTGTTGTATATAAACAAGTATTTTTGCTAGTACCTTCCTCGCCTTTCGAAGACTCTAAACCAGATGTAAGTTGAATAGACTTAAGAGTATTTTTTTGTTTATCTGTTTTGGTATGTTCTTCTACATGTTTTTCAATCAATTGCATATCAAACTCTAATCCTTTTGAGCATTTCTTACAATCTACAGTTTTAGACTCAAAATTAATGTTTATTCCCTCTTTTTGAAATTTATCAACAGAATCAACAAGATTTTCATTACTGTCCATATTTTGTGTAGTAATTTTATCGACATTATCATTTTTATTTTTAGATATTTCTTTTGATTTTTTATCTATATTAAGCTTGGAAATCCGTTGCTTATGCAACCTTAGCATGGTTTGGTGATGAAGGTCATTCAAGTGAGCATTAACAGCAAATGCCTCTATAACCCAATTACAGAGAATACACCATGTCATTCCCTTTTCGTCGGTTGTTATATAATTCTTTGCTTTTAATATTTCACAAATCTTTGTATCATCTATTGGACCAGAATTTTCGATGGTGGATTCCGGATTATTATTAATATTCTTTACCCTGGCTTTGTCTTTTGTGTTTAAAGCATTATCGGGAACTTTAATTTCTTCTAAAACTACTTCCTCATTCTGTTGTTGATTTTTAGATTTTTTATCTGTAATATCTGGTTTTTCAATTACTTTTGATGTTTTATTTTCGGCAGACTTGCAATTTTCATTGTAAAGGTTTAAATGTTCCGTCTTATCAAAATGAAAATCATTTGTGTTCCAAGCAACCACCGCGTTACATGTCAAACATTGAAATGAACTTTCATCAATCTGGAAAATAAAAACGGATAATAATTATTTATAATGACTGACTTATTTATAATGAATTGACGGCTCCTTGGCGTAGTGGCTTAGCAATCAGTTGTTGCGCTGGGGGCCGCGGGTTCGAGTCCCGCACGGAACAAGTATTTGTATGGCCTACAAATAATTGTTCCGGGTCTGGATGTTTGTCCTTGTGCAATTTATGTCTGTAAACTGCCTCCACGACACAGGAGAAAATTCTAGTACGGGGGTAACGTTTTTAAAAAAAAAATAAACGCAATATATGCTATGCTATAAATAAATAGGTGATGACAAAATTCTAGGTGAAACTAAATATATATAATTAAATTAATTATTAGCTGTGCCCGTGACTTCGCATAATATATGAGTACTTTTATCTATCGACATATGTATTTAATAGAGCAATGTTAAATTTTATCTACTCCCCCCCCCCCCCCCCCCTGGGTGAGCATCACCCCCAACTTTTTTGGGAATATCAATGAAGATCAGAAATTTCAAAGTACCTTATTTAGGTATGCAAATAAAAGCAACGTTCAAAGTAAAAGTTTCCGTTCTGATCAATTTTTGTATTCGGGAACAGGACGTGAAATAGAAATTACAGCCGTAGGAAAATATGGATTAGTAATTAAACTAAATAAATCACGTTATTTTGTATTTGAAGAGAAATCAATCTAAACCACCAATTCTTATAAATAGAAGTACATTTTTTTTTCTGGTTTTACTTTTACCTACATTTTTATTATATTATTAAATTTATATATGTGTGCTCAAGAGTTAAGTTGTACTGAGATGTGCCCGCACCTCGTACGCGGTGTTGATAGACAAAATGAGTCCAAACCGAAACTACAGACATTTATTTAACAAACAATAAATATCTATACTAATATAATAAAGCAGAAGAGTTTTTTTGTTTTTTTGTTTGTTTAAACGCGCTAATCTCAGGAACTACCAGTCCGATTTCAAAAATTCTTTTTGTGTATTATAGCTAGATTCATGTGGAATAGTATAGGCTATCTAACATTAGGCTATATCACTCAGCTAGCCTTAAATGTGGATATTTGTTAAGCAAGTCAGAAGAAAAGCACTCCCGAAATGATTTATCCGCGTACGCTGGTGTTATCGTTAGGGATACGTAAATACAATGTTTTAGAAAAATATAGATCTTTACTCCGTCTAAAAAAAGTCAACGATACCATATGTCTATTTCTTATACATGAGCCATAAATAGGTATTTTGTGGCAAAAAAATATTGAAAATTTAAAAGTGATTTATGAGCGTTATTATTAGGCATGGCCTATTTATCCTTACGAACGAAAATTACTTCATCATCTAGACAATTTTATGAAGATAAACTTTGTTCTTTATACCATGTTATTTGGACGCATAGGTTAAGAGATAATATAAAATTAAAATAATTCAATACTTGGCTGGGCGCGCGAACGGCGCATAAACCCTAGCCGCCCGGTGAGAACGTGGATAAAACTTACCTTCACTCACCATCATACATAAATATGCCGACAGATAAAAGTACTCCATTTTGACAGTGGTAGAGCCACGCGGCAGCTTTTGCTGTTGCACGGATGGGCCGGCTCGAACCGGGGTGGTACCACGACCTCACAGAAAACTAGCGTGAAGTAGAGGTTTACCTCTGCGTTTCGCTTGGTGAGTGCAGGTGGCCGGAGGCCCTTTTTACTGGAAATGAGGCATTCCATCTTAGTCCTCACGGGTGACAACGCATCTACATTTTGACTTGTAATAAAGGATAGATGTAGATGTCTATGGGCCGCAGCAACCACTTACCATCAGGTGGACTGTGTGCTCGTTTGTCACCCTTATCCTATAAAAAAAAAATAATTATGCCAATTTTTCCATCCATTGCTATCAAATAAAATATTTAATTGCAATTATGAAATGCTTGAACTAGGTCATGTCGTGCACCACTGACTCGTGATGATGCGGGTGAAACCGCGGGGCACAGCTAGTAATAAAATAAAAGTCCGCCTCCGGATGCACCGACACTATTATGGTGAACAGACTAGATTGATACGAGTATGCACTTAATGTTTCATCGCCACCATTGCACAAATTCATACCTACACTTTAAAATAATACCCGTAACTTTTGAAAGTATGAACAGATTTCAATTAAACAAAGACCAAATAATACACGACAAGTGGTAGAATTAAAAAATTTGTACAACCCACTTCAATATAAATAAAATAAGAACATCATCAATGTAGTAAGGATAACTCAAAAACTACTGGTCAGATCTTGATCAAATTTATATGGAACCCCATGAGAAGCATCAGCTTTCAAATAAAGAATCAACAAAATCGGTACACCTAGAAGAATGGTCCAAGGTACACAAAAAAATACAGTCATATTGGGAATCTCCTCCTTTTTTGAAGTCGCTTGAAAATACGCAATATATTTTTTAACGATTTTTTTTTGTGAAATATAGTACTTTGGACGTGATGCGTTCATGAACAAACACACAGACGTAAAATTCTAAAAATGATTGTAATTTATTCAAATACCCATTTTTAGTCTCTCTCTCTCTCTCTCTCTCTCTCTCTCTCTCTCTATCATTTTTCACAAGAATTTGCAATGTACCTACAGTACAGACACGTTATATATGTGTATAGAAGAAAATAGATTATATATATCCTGTAACATTAATATAGTATCTTCTAATGGAAACATACCGTGTAGTGGCAGTGTAAGAATATCCACTACCCTATATCATCCCGTGAGTGCGTAAGCTGCGACAGAGGGAAACAAACCATGAGGGAGGGCAGCAGTCTTCTACTGCCCATCTCCTGGTTTACTGAAAAACTGCGGTTGCGGACCCGCTGGTCAAGCGTGGCAACTATGGCAAATTTCTCCCGTATGAATCACTCTATGGGGGAGGCCTATGGCCAAGTAGACTAATAGACTGTAACGGTAATGGAAATGTATACCTAAGAAACTATCACAAGGGACATTAGAGTTTTTTGGTAAAGGAGTAAAACAATTTAGTGAGGAGAGGCAGCTGGCGTTAATGGCATGGTCAGCTATGATACAGGTCTATCTATATCCAGCAGTGGGCAGTTTCAGAACTGATGATGACGGAGATGATTTTGATATAACTTTTATTAGATGTTAATCACAGAAAATACTGTATATATATATATATATTATATGGTAGAGCCATACTGCAGCTATATTAGTAGTACCGTTGTAGTACGAATGGTTCGACTCGACCAGGGAAGGACCACGCTCTCACAGAATACCAGCGTAAAATAGCAGCTTAACACTGCTCTGTTTCGTGTGGTGAGTGTAGAGAACCGGAGACCCCTTTTACTGGAAAAGAGGCATTCTATTTTATTACTCACAGGTGATAAAGCATCTGCATTTTGATTCTTTATTGAGGATAGATGTAGATATCTATGGGTCACAGCAACCACTTCCATCAGGTGGACTGTATGCTCGTTTTCACCTATACTATAAAAAAAAAATACAAAATATTGTGTTTGTTTACAGTTAAATAAAATTTCTATTTATACTTACTTTCCGAAAAATGTTTTTGTTTGAGTCGAATTCAACTTTAGTTTGAATTAATTTAATTATATGATTAGATTCATTTTTATGAATGTCTTCATTATCAAATTCTGTATTACAAATAACACAAGTATCATCAATGAATCCATTCCATGCTTTGTCATCTATTAGTACATTCGTAAGAGCAACGACGAAATTTTCTTGTCTTCCCATCAGTTTGGTGTTTTTAATTTCAATATGGCTTGGCTCTATTATATGTAATCTAACTCTTGCTGATGTAGAAAGTAGAACGTTGCAAACTTCGCAGTAGTACCATTTTTTAATCTAAACAAACATAAAACTTTAAATTGTTATTAATGTATGGGAAATTTTCGATACACCAAAAACTCGGATCTACCAAATGGGACTATGAACGGCCAGAGCCAGTGCACATTTTTAAAATTAATACTAATGTTGCGGCGCTGAAGACCGCGGATTCGGATCCCGCAGGGAACGAGTATTTGTATAGCCTAAAAACATTGAGTTATATGTACTACGTACTAGAGAAGCTATTCCAAACAAAAATTGTGCGCTACTCTATGTCTTCATGCAAGCGCGGGAGTTAGTAGTCGCGCATGCGCGAAGACATTAATATAAAATAAATATAAGAATTTAATATAAAATACTCTTATTTTAATCTAAACAATATAAATAAAATGTAATAATCATTATCTTATGGAATTCACAAATCTTCAATTTACGCAATATTTAGTATAGTGTACGGATTGCAGTACAGTTCTGTTGAAATTAGTCAGTGTTCGGAATGTGAAATCTAGTGCGTAGTACATATAAATCGATGCCTACAAATAATTATTCCGAGTCTGGATAAAGCAGTTAATCCTAGTATATGCGTAACGTTTTTAAAGACAAAGAAAAATATCATGTATACTTGCAAAAACCGGTAGTGTGTAAGAATATCCACTACCCCATATCGTACCAGAGGTGTCGTAAGAGGCGACAGAGGCAAACCGAAACAGGAGATGGGCAGCAGCATCTTCAAAATAAATATAAGAACTGTAGTTGCGAATCCGCTTACCAAGCGTAGCAACAATGTCAGGATTCCTAGTATAAGGCAATTTATGGGGGAGGCCTATGTTCAACAGTGGACCTTTAAAGACTGCAAAAACAGTCGTGTTTATCGTATTTTTTCAGCCCCTCAATATTTTTGAAATTACCATCGACGTAACCTTAGTTCTACTTTACTTTTGCTTTAAAACCCTCTTATATTATTGTCCGTATACGACACGGCCGTATATGATATCGCGACACCACCGGTGGTCAAAGCTCCATATATAACAGAATCGTTCCGAAACCGATAGCTTGATTACGGCTTCGGTTGTAGTTCGGTGCGTATTGGTCATTAAAGAAGCGGTGACAGTGATCCTACGTCAGCCGCTGCTCAGCCCTGGAGTTGATAGGTCTTGTTGCCGAAGAAGGTACAAGTACTTCGTTTACTTATAGTCTGCAAAGCAAGTGATTAGCGAGTCTTGTGATGTGTTGCAAAGGTAACCAGTAGAGCTCAGAGTACTTGAAGGGCCGGGATGCTCCCTCCTGATGCTGCAACGAAGCTTGACAAACTAGGCTGGCTTGAAGGAGCTAAAAACTACAGACGCTGTTTGCTCAGGAGAAAATGGCGGTTTCTTGAGGATGATGAAAACAAACTTAATTGTTGGAGTTTAACATCCTTTAATAGAATTTGTTTTTAATATATTTGAAAAAGAAATATTAAAAAACACAATTAGAAAAGGACAACTCAATGGGATGTAATGATGATAATGATATTGAGGGGAATAGCTCAAGTGACAAAGGCCGTAGAAGACCTGATTGAGAGCTAATTTATCAATTTTACCCCCATGTAAATATATCAATTTATATACAAACGCAGAGTTAAATTGGTTCAGATATATTCATCGATTTCGGTAATTTGTTAAATTCGTCTGCATATAAGCTGCAGCTAAACCGTGAGGTTTACAAAAATATATGACAACTGATTATGGTCTGACACTTGCGCAAATAGTGACGCAATATAAAACGACTTATATGACAGCACGAAAATCTCACGTTTCTCTATTTTCTTCCTCTATCTCTATATCCTTTCTATCTTACCTTTCTTACACAATGTTCATTCTTTCCTTCAAAATATTCTGTAAGGGAAATATTCGTTTTATGCTGTTTCTTAGTTATGTGTGCAAACGTTTCATCTTCATTGTCAAATCGGCACTCGCATACAAGACAGAAATAGTCCAAATGGCTGGTCAGCACACCACTTTTGTTGAGCTTCGAATTCATGTTAATTACCTGCAAAAATTAATATTAGGTAAAATTAAAAAAGTTAGAGTTAAAACGCAGAATAAATAATAGTTTGGTTAAAAGCCTCTTTAGATACGTCTCACTTCTCGATGTGTCTACCGCGCTACCTAATACCTTCGAAATAGTTTTTTAATTTGTCAGAAATATCTATATATATTTATGACATCATAAGAACTAGATAATATCATTTAAGTTAAAATTGGGTAAATAATGATAACGGTTTTTTTTTTCAATACATATCCTGTTTTTGTGGAATTAAGAAGAAAGTACTCCGTACTAAAATAACTCGACTGACTTTTGCTTTTCTCCAAAATCTTTCTCAGAGAAATAAAGAGTTGACTTTATACATATCTTTAATGAATAATAATATTGTCCTTCTCTTTCTCTCTCTCTCTCTCTTTCATTAATAATATTGTTACTCTCAAATCTCATAGTCCGATGGGACGCCAATCCATCAAAACCGCAGATATTAACAAGCGCAGGACTTGTTGTCGAAATCCAGAAATTACCAGTGCGAAGCCGGTGTGGACCACTAGTTTCCCATAAAATAACTTGTCCAGAAAATCAACATTATTGTGCGCATATAAATGCAGTAAATGAGCTTATCACTATGATAGAGCGACGGCGACGGTTTAAATACTATATCCGCTGACATAATTTATTCAAATATTAAAAAGAGAGCGTTTTGAAAATAAAGCACATCTAAATTACATAATAGTAAAACTAAAACGTATATACAAATAACATAAATCTCTAACGGACAGAAATTGATTTTTATACTTTCTATATAAATAAAATGTTCGCGCCTCACGGAAAAACTACTGGATAGATTTCAATTAGGGTTTCTAAGTTTTATTTCTTAGACACTTGGCCCTAACCTAAAAAAAATATTGCGATATCTTCATTTAATATAAAGTTATATTATAAGTTTTAAAGAGGCTACGATTTTTATACAGGGTTTTTCACACGGTCAACTTAAGGCGCAGGTTGAGCAAAATGTCGAGCTAGTCGTTATTTGGGCGGTTTTTAGAAGCTATCTACTTTTTATTTATAAGATATATCAACAAATAAAAAACACATTATATTTCTACATAATCTTGATTCCATAAAAGCTATATCCAATTTTTTTTTAAACGAATAAATATTAATATAATCTCCTTACAACGAAACCACATAAATGTGAAATTATTATTGAAAACATGGATCTCCTCGTAAAGTAAGTATTATTTTATTTTGCGATTTACACCAATGGATAGGCAATTTATTAATAAACATTTCTATAGTAAATTTTTTTTCAAAAGACCAAAATTTGATTTTATTAAGAAATTATTTTAAAATCTGGGCATATTCACTGCTCACGGGCTTGCTTAGTCAGTGAGCCCTGAGCTCTTCGACGCGAAGCCCGTGTCGTTAGAGCGTCGACCAGCGCCGCATACACTCACGTAATATCAGTCGATAAATAATATTACTTATTAGGTTATTTATAGGTAGTATTATTTGTTTGTTTTGGGTATAATTTTTCGTATTAGTTATACATATATTTGTTGTGTTTTTTACTGCGCGATGAAGCTTTTTGCGTGTATTTTCTTTGAAGTAAATGCAAATAAAAAAATGAAGCACCATTAGCATGTAAGGTTCGAATCTTATAATTAAAATTTCGACAAATATTATAATTTACACTATAAAAGGCTAATTCAATATTATCACCCAACCACAATATCTTATCAGGTATAGTACTGCCTCGTTGGTCTAGTGGTTGTAGTAGTGCGACTGCTGATCATGAGGTACCGGGTTCGAATCCTGGGTCGGGCCAAAAAGCCAGTTATGAGTTTTTCATTTATGTTCTAAGTTATAATTAGTATTACTAAATTATAGTTTTTTGCTAAAATATAGTATATTATTTATTGCTTGTTTTTTCTTCTTTTTCAAAAATAATTGAGTACATAAGGTGTTCTATACTTATAATTCGGTAAAAAGTACTAATATACCTACTTTTTACCATAAACTAAAAATTTTTAAAACTAAATTTAACTAAAAAGACTAAACTGACCATTTATTTTTTAACTCATAACAGGACATGGGTTTATTTATACTCTAAAAACTATAACTTTATACAATTAGTGTTCACTATAAAATTATATTCGGTATAGACGGTAATTATTAAATGCAACATATTTTTTTTAATTATTAATTACATTTGTCAGTGGATTAAATTTGCTTTAATAAAGTTGGTGATGATTTTAAATAAGAATAAAATTCTGCTCAAGTTTTTTATTGTTATCTTTGTTAACAACATCGCCTGTAGAACTCTGGAACCGTAAGTGTTTCTTTCAGACGTCCACAATTTATGCAAAATAAAAAAATACTCTTTCTACCGGAGCATTCGTACCAGGTAGACATAAAATATATTCGATTAAAAAAAATTATGTTGAAGATTGTTGACTTTGAATACTTCCATCCAACTAGTTACATGACAATTTTGTGTCCCGGAGCTTTGTTTGGGGACAATGGGACAGGAGACCGAGAAAAGGGACAGTCCCGTTCAAAACGGGACGTATGGTCACTTTAGCTATAACCCAGCGACCATGAAGCAAATACAAAGTTAGTCTTTGTATTAGCTTCATGGTGGCGCAGTGGCTTAGCAATCAGTTGTTGCGCTGGGGGCCGCGGGTTCGAATCCCGCATGGAACAAGTATTTGTATGGCCTACAAATAATTGTTCCGGGTCTGGATGTTTGTCTTTGTGCAATTTATGTTTGTAAACTGCCTCCACGACACAGGAGAAAATCCTAGTGTGGGGGTAACGTTTTTTTACAACTGAAATTGAAAGATTGAACCCTTATACTTCTTGTTGATTTTTGTATTACCTTTATTAAAGTTACCCTTATGTATAAATAAATATAATTACGTATGTAGAAATAAAATTGATTTTCATCCTCATCAATCATTGGGGTGAGGATAATATCTGCCAGCATAAGTTCAAAAATTAGTAGGTAACTTTTCAATACGTGACACGTAAAAATTAACAATAATCAAAAACACATATGCGAAACATCCTATTTATTTATTTATTTTTTATTGCACCAAATATTTGTACAAAAGCCGAGCTATCTATTTATTTACCTATAGTGAATAGGTATCTTTTAAACTCACAATTTTCAATGCTTCAGTTTTAATATATAATTAATTATAAAATTTCATAATTAGATAATATATGAAAATACATAATTCTAATATAATGCAACTAATATATACAGAATAAAAAAATTAAAATATATTATATTCGGTATAGAAAAATTGTGGACGTCTGAAAGAAACACTTACGGTTCCAGAGTTCTAAAGGCGATGTTGTTAACAAAGATAACAATAAAAAACTTGAGCAGAATTTTATTCTTATTTAAAATCATCACCAACTTTATTAAAGCAAATTTAATCCACTGACAAATGTAATTAATAATTAAAAAAAATATGTTGCATTTAATAATTACCGTCTATACCGAATATAATTTTATAGTGAACACTAATTGTATAAAGTTATAGTTTTTAGAGTATAAATAAACCCATGTCCTGTTATGAGTTAAAAAATAAATGGTCAGTTTAGTCTTTTTAGTTAAATTTAGTTTTAAAAATTTTTAGTTTATAGTAAAAAGTAGGTATATTAGTACTTTTTACCGAATTATAAGTATAGAACACCTTATGTACGCAATTATTTTTGAAAAAGAAGAAAAAACAAGCAATAAATAATATACTATATTTTAGCAAAAAACTATAATTTAGTAATACTAATTATAACTTAGAACATAAATGAAAAACTCATAACTGGCTCTTTGGCCCGACCCAGGATTCGAACCCGGTACCTCATGATCAGCAGTCGCACTACTACAACCACTAGACCAACGAGGCAGTACTATACCTGATAAGATATTGTGGTTGGGTGATAATATTGAATTAGCCTTTTATAGTGTAAATTATAATATTTGTCGAAATTTTAATTATAGATTCGAACCTTACATGCTAATGGTGCTTCATTTTTTTATTTGCATTTACTTCAAAGAAAATACACGCAAAAAGCTTCATCGCGCAGTAAAAAACACAACAAATATATGTATAACTAATACGAAAAATTATACCCAAAACAAACAAATAATACTACCTATAAATAACCTAATAAGTAATATTATTTATCGACTGATATTACGTGAGTGTATGCGGCGCTGGTCGACGCTCTAACGACACGGGCTTCGCGTCGAAGAGCTCAGGGCTCACTGACTAAGCAAGCCCGTGAGCAGTGAATATGCCCAGATTTTAAAATAATTTTTTAATAAAATCAAATTTTGGTCTTTTGAAAAAAAATTTACTATAGAAATGTTTATTAATAAATTGCCTATCCATTGGTGTAAATCGCAAAATAAAATAATACTTACTTTACGAGGAGATCCATGTTATCAATAATAATTTCACATTTATGTTGTTTCGTTGTAAGGAGATTATATTAATATTTATTCGTTTAAAAAAAAATTGGATATAGCTTTTATGGAATCAAGATTATGTAGAAATATAATGTGTTTTTTATTTGTTGATATATCTTATAAATAAAAAGTAGATAGCTTCTAAAAACCGCCCAAATAACGACTATCGCGACATTTTGCTCAACCTGCGCCTTAACGTCGCTTGCTCTCGCGTCATGCCAAAGGACAGGCATATGTGGCACTGAGTAGAGTAAAACACTTGAGGGTATTGCTATATCCGATTTAGAGCCAAATAAGGTATTACACAAACCTCACGATGAACGAGCGTTAGCAGAAATGCAGAGACTGAGAGGTCTACATACAAGAGACTGACAGCTCTAAAGCTCATTCATCGTGAGGTTTTTTTGTAATGTAATGTAATGTAGTGTAATTATTATGTAATGTAGTAATACACCACTCAGAATTAAAATCTGTGAGTAAAAAATAAATCACCCTATTTTCCCACCCTTAG